CAGGCGCTCTGTTGTTTTTGGTGCTGCCGTCTTGACTGGCTGGGCCGGCGGCGGCTGTTGGTGGGGGCTGGGGGGGGGGGGGAGGGGGAGGAGAAGGCGGAGGGGGGGCGCGAGAAGGGAGAGCAGGGTGGCTCAGGCAGTCACTCAAGAGAGTGAGCGAGTTCTTTAAAGATGGCCGGAACGGCGGCGGCGGCGGCGAGCGCGACCCCTGTGTATTGCGTGTGCCGGGAGCCTTACGATGTGAACCGCTTCATGATCGAGTGCGACATATGCAAGGACTGGTTCCATGGCAGGTAAAGGGCTGGCTTGGCAGCCGCGCGTCCTTTTTCGGGGGAGACGACAAAAAAAACATTGCCCCTTCCACTTTCCGAGGGTGAGACCTTCGGTGGGCGCTGAGGGGAAAACAAGGAACAACGGAGGACAATGAGGAAGAGGCGGCTCGGGGCTTTCAGCTAACCAGGAAGCAGCAGCGCTTAGCAGCCGCCGCTCTCCTGTTCCCTGCGCCTCTTCCCCCTCTTCGGTGCGGAGTTATATAAGGACTCCGGAACTGAGGTTAGCCAGGAGCTCTCGGAGGTTTCGGTGGAGTTTGGTGGGTGCGGAAAAGTTAGCAGCCGTGATTCAGTTTCTCGTAACGCCGGGGGGGTGAGCTGTGTGCCCGTGTCTTTTGTGCGTGAGTACGAGTGGCGAGGTGAGGGTTAGCGCCTGTGCCTTCGTCTTCTCGCTCTCCAGGCGTGGGGGCTTCGAGGGGACCTCCTGCCCCTCTGAGCTCACAGCGCCCGAGTTTTGCGGGCTTCGGACTCTTTCTGACGTGGTGCCTGTCCTCCGCGGAGGCGCGTGTCTTTTATGCGTGGGCGCGTCCCGCGGGAGGGAGAAGGGCTCCCCGAAGTGCGAGCGCCGTGGCGCTTCAAACGGCCGTGTCGCTCCTGCCCGGAGAGGGAGCGCGGGGTAGTGGTGGTATCCACGGATCTTGAAACAAAGGAGCAAGTTTCAGGGCTGCCTCGGTGGTGGCGCAGGGGACTCTCTCTCTCCCCTTTCGGCTTTGATCTTCCGACTACCGGGCTGGAGCCCACCGCTGGCGGGCGGCGGCGTTGAAGTTTGGAGGAAGAGGCAGCTTTCGGAGAGTATTTATCCAAGGAAACCCTCGCTGCTGTCGCGGCTTTCAGGGGAAGTGCTCCTTGATTGACAGCACGACATTTAAATACCCCCCATTTAACAAAAACAAGAGTCACGATGGAGCTGGCGAGACGGTCTCAACTCCCTCTGCTGGCTTTTGGTGGGAAGTTAATTTTAAAGGGGCAGGTCCCGGAATTCAGACGCTGAGAGGGTGGGAGAGACGTACTGTAGCATCTTAAAAATAAATAAATAAAGCGAGCACCGAACAGGTCTGTAGCAGTGCCTTGGCTCCAAGTCTTTATTGCGGTCGCATTGTTCACGGTTGCAACTTGTCTGACGAGCCCCCTTCCAGAATGCACCTGACTGCTACTGCAAATGCAGCTGCTTCTTCCCCGCTGGGTTCTGCATTGGTCTGCATTTTTCTGCGATGGTAGGATTATGAATAAAAAGGTACAGCTCTGTACACATTTATGTGAACTTAGTGGTTTGGCTTCTGTACAGGTATGCGTGAGATGGTACGGTAAATTAATTTGGTTTGTGCTTTTAGTTTCAGAATTAAACTATTTGTTGCTGTATTGATGAGAAGATAAGTACAGTAACACTTCTCTTTAGTATTGGTTACTTCTTGGGGAAAATAGACAAATCTTTAGTGTTTTCTCTGTAAATTCATTATGGATCAGCATGAATAATATGATATAGTAATTGTATGTAAGTGACATACATCCCTAATGTATCCATACATGTATGTACAAAGCTGCATTCAGTTTTGTGCAGTTAAATTCAAATCATGTTACCTGAGAGAAAGTTTTAGTGAAATCACTGGAG